CTAAACCCTAAACCCCTAAACCCTAAACCCTAAATCCTACCTTTACCCCAAACCCCCAAACCCATGTGTTGTGAGAGGCCCTGCGACATCCACAGACCATCCCACCCAAAACACCAAACCCTGAAGGTTTTAGGGTTTTAGGGTTTCAGGATTCTAGGGTTTTAGAGGGTGTTAGAGGGTTTTAGGGTTTTAGGGTTTTAGAGGGTTTTAGAGGGTTTTAGAGGGTTTTAGGGTTCTGGGGTTCTGGGGTTCAAATTTTGGGGTCCTAGGCTTTTAGGTTTCAGGGTTTAGGATTCTAAACCCTAAACCCTAAACCCTCAAGCCTCAAGCCTCAAGCCTCAAGCCTCAAGCCTCAAGCCTCAAGCCTCAAGCCTCAAGCCTCAAGCCTCAAGCCTCAAGCCTCAAGCCTCAAGCCTCAAGCCTCAACCCTCAACCCTCAACCCTCAACCCTCAACCCTCAACCCTCAACCCTCAACCCTCAACCCACCTCTTCTTTCAGGACGACCAGCTTGCGGAGCTGCGCCGTGCCGGGGCGCCCAAGGGCAAGCGGCTTGCGGTTTACGGGCTTTGGGGTTTGCGTTTTAGGGTCTAGGGTTTAGGATTCAGGGTTTAGGGTTTAGGGGTGTTTAGGGGATTGAGGTCGGGCTTAATAGGGATTATAATAGGGGGTACCATCATCCCTATTAAGGACTGTTAGAGTAAGGGGGAACATCCCAAGCTTGAGGGGAGGTGTCGGTTTTTTTTTCTCCGGTTTACGCGGGTTTAAGGGGTTTGAGGGGGTTTGGGGGGTTTTGGGGGGTTTAGGGTTTTTTTTTTTCGGTTTACGGGTTTAAGGGGTTTGAGAGGTTTTCGTTGACGGGGATTAAGGGGTTTGAGGGGGTTTAGGGGGTTTAGGGGTTTAGGGGGTTTAGGGGGTTATTTAGGGGTTTTGGGAGGTTTAACGTTTTGGGGGGTTTTTTTAGGGTTTTGGGGGGTTTGCAAGCCCTCCGCGCTATGGGAATCCCCTGTGTGGTTCCGGTTCCATCTGGGCCGTCTGCAGAGCTTGAAGGGCCGGCCTAAGGGCCTAAGGATATAGGCTCCTGTTCGGGGTACTTGTGAGCGAGATGCTTGGGTGCTTAGATCCGATGGACGTTCGAGGCCAAGGGGATCGCTTGGGCTATGCGGCTTTATTATCCTAAACCCTGAACCCTGAACCCTAAACCTTAAACCCTGAGCACCCCAGGCATCCAGGATGTTCAGGGCAAAGCGCTCTTCGGGAGAGGGGGGGAGATGTCCCCCTTCCGCTCGCCCACAACTCCTCAAAAATCCCAAGGCCAATCGCTTGAACCCTGAACCCTGAAAAGTCTACAGCCGTGAAGCCCGAAAACCTTGAACAGCTACTTGGACGCTCATTCTGTTGGGGGCCCAATCAGGTGCAGCCCCGAGCCCTACACCACAAATCCAGCTTATCAACCCTAAACCCTGAACGCAAACCCTACACCCCAAACCCTAAACCCCAAACCCTCAACCCTCAACCCTCAACCCTCACCCTCAACCCTCAACCCTCAACCCTCAACCCTCAACCCTCAACCCTCAACCCTCAACCCTCAACCCTCAACCCTCAACCCTCAACCCTCACCCTCAACCCTCAACCCTCAACCCTCAACCCTCAACCCTCAACCCTCAACCCTCAACCCTCAACCCTCAACCCTCAACCCTCAACCCTCAACCCTAAACCCTAAACCCTAAACCCTGCATCCAAAACCCCTCAAGCACTAAATTCCTCAGCCCAGGCTCGCCAAGAGCAGTGGATCCGAAAGAGATCCCAGACGCAAAGTGGAGATCCTCCGGAAGAGTGAGGGCTGAGGGGGCTTAGTGGTTCGGGGTTCAGGGGTTTCGGGTTTAGGGTTTAGGGTTGAGAGTTTGGGCTGTGAGGGGGCCGGACTAGACACTGACTCCTAAACCCCATGACTTCCTACTTCTGCCCGGATCTGGATGTAGGCGCATTGCCATGATGATGTAGGAAAAGCAGAAGTTTGCTAGGGCCGTGTCCATCAGAGAATTGGACGAGGGTGCAGTGGCTCATCTTACGTACTGCGTGGGGGCTTATTCTCAGGGTGCGTTTACCAAAGTGCTTGAAGGACTGGTCGCGCACCGCCTAAACCAAGAATCCGAATCTCGCGGCACATAAGCAGACACCGAAGCGGGCTTCTTGGGCACCGCCGCTGCACCCTTGTTTGCCTTGGACAGACAGACCGCCTGTGCTGGCATTGCCGCGTGGCCTTCAAAAGGTGCATGGTGTGGGCATTTCGGATTTTAGGGTGTGCACGCCTGTTCACTCTGTAGCGTTTAGGCGTCGCCCCCCCCCTTTCCATCCTGACCAGACTCAGCTCAATGTTTAAGGTTCTTGGGTAGTGCGTGGAACTGTGCATCCCTTCGTCACCGTTTAGAGTTTAGGGTTTAGGGTTACTTCTGTCCATCTGAATTCCACCACGCCACCCCGGGTCCATGTGCTGTTGAGGTCTAAGCCCCCTGCTTAGTTAACCCCCCTCGCCTGCCCCTTTGCCAGGAACCGCAGTGCACTTAAAGGGAATCTGCGAAAACAGATGTCACCTTGGAATCACGGAAAACCGTAGCCTAAACTTTGCCTCAACACCCTGAACCCAACGCCCCATGTGCCAAAACCCTGAACCCTAAGCCCTAAACTCTAGACCCTAAAACCTAAACCCTAAACCCCAAACCCTAAACCCCAAACCCCAAACCCTAAACTTACACTAGCCTAAACTCATCTAAACTCGACCCTCGGGCTCAAGACATGGAGCCGGCGCAGTGGGCGGGGAGCGGGTCGATTTTGGCGAAGGCCTAGACTTCATGAGGACTTAGAACGGTTTAGAACGGCTTAGAACGGTTTATTAAGGGTATAGAATGGTTTCTTATGGTCTCAGAATGGCTAAGGGTATCTAGGATTCGCTAGGATGATCTTTGCCCGTATCTTTTAGGGTCTGTTAAAGCGTCTTAGCGTTGCAAAACCACAAGTCCCTAAGCCTTAACCACCCCGCGCCCCACCCAAAAGCAACCCCAAAGGTTTAGGGCTCAGGGTGCCCAAGCACCTAAGCACCTTCCATCAGCTCCCTCAGCCCTAAACCCCTGCCCTGAGAGAGGCCTCTGTCTCCCGAGGGCCACTCAAAAAAAACCTGCAACCCAAGTACCCTGAACTCCACCAACACAATGCACTTCAGCCTTCAGAATCCTTAAAGCCCTAAACCCCGAAAGAATCTTCAGCCCACCCAAGCACCCTCAACCTCGAGAGCCCTTAGCCCTCAAACCCTTAGAGGGCAACCGGGGGGCTCCGTTGCGATGGGGCGGCTGCAGCCTTGATGTCCAACATCGTCATCGACTTCGAGGTGTGTGCGGGGGTGGGGTGGGGTTAGGGTTCAGGGTTTAGGGTTTAGGGTTTGGGGTTTGGGGTTTAGGGTTTAGGGTTTGGGGTTTAGGGTTTAGGGTTTGGGGTTTAGAGTTTAGGGTTTAGAGTTTGGGTTTAGGGTTTGGGGTTTGGAGTTTGGGGTTTGGGGTTTAGGGTTTAGGGTTTAGGGTGGGGTGGGGGGTGGCGGTAGTTAGAAGGAGGGTTATCATAATCACCCGCGTCAGGTTTCCACTAGATACAAAGTATAGTTGTTCCATACTTATAGCTAGTATAGAGCCCTCCACGTCGATCGGCAAGACATTCTGCACGGGCCTGCGGTTGGAGCCCTCGAACACCTCCCACAGTCCTGGGCCCCTAAAGGCTCTAAACCCTAAACCCAACCCAAAACCCCAAAACCCAAAACCCTAAACCCAAAACCCTAAACCCAAAACCCTGAACCCTGAACCCTAAACCCTAAACTCTAAACCGCTGAAGCCCTGAAGCCCTTAAACTTTGCATAAACTCTAAACATCCCTGCAAAAAGGTCTTGCCCGAGGATGGCCCGGCTGATCGCACAGCACCACAGGCGCCGGGCAGGTTTAGGGTTTAGGCTTTAGGGCTATAGGGTTGAGGGCTGAGGGTTTTGAAAGAAAAGAACGTTGAACATGTGGGTGATTTTGTTCTCTTTTATTGATGTTCCTTATGCACGAGGCGTAAAAATGTGGTGCAAGTAACGTTGGCATTCCAATCGGCTCAATACAGCAAAATGTTGTACACATTGAAATGGGGTCGGGTTTGAACCCTAAAGCCTAAAGCCTAAAGCCTAAAGCCTAAAGCCCAAAGCCTAAAGCCTAAAGCCCAAAGCCTAAAGCCTAAAGCCTAAAGCCTAAAGCCTAACGCCTAAAGCCTAAAGCCTAAAGCCAAAAGCCTAAAGCCTAGAGCCTAAACCCTAAGCCCTGAACGTTAAACCCTAAGCCCTAAGCCCTAAACTCCCCACCCCCCCCCATGCCCTCTCCAGGTCTGCAACGAGCTTCTGCGGCAGCTGCAGGACAGGCCCAGTTCAAGCTGAGAGCCCAGGAACCCTGCCAGGCTGCTAGAAGGGTTGTGAAGGGTTCGGGTTAAGGTTTTCGGGTTTAGGGTTTAGGGATAGGGGCCCACTATACGCTAAACAAACAGGGGTTGTTTCTTTTTAGAAGGGGTGCGGGGCAACAAAGGCAGCTGTTTTTCACCCTAGTCTAGTGAAACGAAGGCACCAGCAACCCCGAACCCCGAACCCCGAACCCCGAACCCCGAACCCCGAACACCGAACCCCGAACCCCGAACCCCGAACCCCAAACCCTAGCCCAAACCCCAAACTCTAAACCCAACAAGCCTTAAGGCTCCAGGAGCCCAATAGCATGAATGCCCCAATCCCCCAAAGCAGTCGACAAACGGACGTCCTAAGCCCTTTGTTCAGGCTTTAACCATCAACAGATAGCTGCAGGTTAGGGGTTAGGGGTTAGAGGCTTAGAGGTGTCAAAGTACCACCGGTTATAATCCCTATCATGGAGCTGTTCGTATAAGGGGGAACATGCCAAGCTAGAGGTGCTACTTGTGAAGCCCCAGTCTCGAACTACCCATGGGACCTTCAAAAGTGGAGGATCCGAGCAGTGAGCTGCGACGGGGCGAGTTCGGCAGGCCGGGGGATGATCTTCGGGTTTGGGGTTCCGGGTTTAGGGTGCCTTTGGGGTTTGGGGGATTCAGGGTTTCGGGGATTCATGCTTGTGAGGGTCCCTAAATGAAGGGTTTAGGGTTAAGGATGTTGGAGATGTTTGGCTAAGACTCTGAGCCCCCTCAGCCCTAAACTCTGGGACCCTTGCTTGCGGCAGGTGGGAAGGTCGGTGGTGGGCTTCAGTGCTCTCGTGGGATGTGGGAACTTGGTGTGTGTGTGTGTGTGTGTGTGCGCTTCAAAGGTATGCCGCAAATGCTTCGATAAGCATTGCGCCGGCCCGAGTTCCTCGGAAGAGTCCGCGGCTGCAGGGTTTTGGGGCCTGGGTTTGAGGGTTTGGGGGTTCCGTCTAAAATAATTACACTCATATATAATATACACATATATACGTAGTACAATATACAGAATAATAATATTATATAAAGTTATAATAATACTATATAAAGTTCTTAAAGTCTAGCCCCTAAACCCTTTAGCCCGACCTGGGAGTCTCAAATTTCTGAACCGCTGAGGATGGCGGGCCGCTGGCAGGCGCCGAGAGTCCCGGAGAGGTGCGCCGGAGAAGGCTTTCAGTGGCTTAGGGCTTGCCCAGCACGTGCGGTTAGAAGCTCAAACTCTAAACCCTCCTAAACCCTAAACCCTAACCCTTAACCCTAAACCCTAAACCCTAAACCCTAAACCCTAAACCCTAAACCCTACACCCTAAACCCTAAACCCTAAACCCCAAACCCTAAACCCTAAACCCTAAGCACCTCAACCTCTCAACAAAATCCTAAGCCCCAAAGCTCCGAAGTCTGACCTCTCAGCTGCCGCCGCTGCCTGCACCCACCACGTCCTTGGCGGCCGAGCCTCCCCCGGCAAGGGCGCCGAGGGTGACAGGTCGAGTGTTGCAGGGTTTAGCAGTACGGGGTTTAGGGTTTAGGGTTTAGGGTTTAGGGTTTAGGGTTGAGGCGTCGAGGTCCCACATGCAGTATGTTCAGCAGAGTGATCAAAACGGGAAAGATCATGCGCCATTTAAGTGAACACCCTTGCTACAGACAAAAGACCCAAAGCTCGCGAGTTTGTGTCGTGACAGAGTTCAGGTTTAGGGTTTCAGGTCCTAGCACCCCAAAACATTAAAGTCGAACTCCCCCAAGCCCCCAAGTCCTTCCAAAATGCCCCTGAACCCTAAACCCTCATGATAAAAGTCGCATTTTGGTCCGCGAACAAAAATATGAAAGTAAATATCCGAGTTCGTCCACAGGCCCCATTAAATAAATTACCATCAAGGGCCTTTGGAAAGAGAACGAAGAATCTAAATCATGTATTATCTGGGGGCCCACTCCCTTATGTCTATCAAGAGCCCCCAACAAGAAGTCAATTAGGTCTCAAAAGGCTTAGAAACAGCAGTGGTGCACAGGCGGCCAACTGAACACGGCCAAAAAGTAGAACTTTTTAACTGCAATTTTCACAATTAGCATAATTCTCAGAAGAAATCTAGAAACGTGTGAGTGAGTGTGAATGAATGACTGAAGCATAAAGTAGTGTGTGCTGGTGTTTTCTGTTCACAGGCTTATATATGTGGAATTGCACGGGCGGATAAGTGAAAGAACTGCTCCACTCCCAAACCCTGCCCTCAACCAACCCTAAGCCCTAAGCCCTAAGCCCTAAGCCCTAAGCCCTAAGCCCTAAGCCCTAAGCCCTAAGCCCTAAGCCCTAAGCCCTAAGCCCTAAGCCCTAAGCCCTAAGCCCTAAGCCCTAAGCCCTACGCCCTAAGCCCTACGCCCTAAGCCCTAAACCCTAAACCCTAAACCCTAAGCCCTAAGCCCTAAACCCTAAACCCTACTAAACCCTAAACCCTAAACCCTAAACTCCGTTCACTCCCAAGGCCGCCTTCCCGGCGGAGCCCTTCCCCGCCGCCCCCGCCTTCCCGGTGGAGCCGACTCCGGTCACCTCGCAGGAGGGAGGGGTTTAGGGTTCAGGGTTCAGGGTTTAGGGTTCAGGGTTGGGGTTTGGGGTTTAGGGTTTAGGGGTTTAGCGTTCAGGGTGTGTATCAGTGTACCTCTGCGGGGAGTGCGCTCCTTTTGTTTAGATTTCGGGGCGCACTCTCTATCGCGCGCTTGCTCAGCTTGGTCGGCCCAGCCCACCCGAACTCTCTGAGGATTTCGGGTTTTGCACCTCCGCAAACCCCCCGAACAAGGGGGGCTTTCGGCGGTGCTCTCGCCATCTTAGAATGTAGGGCTGAGGGTTTCATGGGCTGCCTGAAGTAGGGTTTCTACGTGCCGCACATAGGATTCTAGCGGCTTCTGACGATAGCTACTCCACTTTTTAGCTGCAAAGATCGGGGCGGAGGGCTTGGAGGGCTCAGTCAGGGTGGTAGGAGGCCCTCGTCTCTGCAGGATCGCCAGATAGGGCCGGCCCCTCAGATAACTGGAGCAGAGGCGACGGTGGCTTATCGTTCAGGTTTCAAGGTGGAAACCCTAAACCCTGTTTGAAGCTCTATCGGCTTTACTTGGTGCGGAGTTTTTGGGCCCAACTGCCAGTAAAGGCCATGACCGCCCAGACCCTGAAGCCTTAACGCAGCCCCGAAACCTGAGTCTTTGCCTCGTGTTTTCCTCAACCCGAGACTAGGGTTTGGGGTTTAGGCTTAGGACTCAGGGCTTAGGGACGAGCCCCCGAGGCCCTCCAAGCCCCCAAACTTTAAACCCCGGGCTACGAAGTCCTGAGCCCCAAAATGCTAGCAACCTTCCCCGAGGCCTCCGAAGCGTGTAGGCCCATCACTGGTTCTCAGTAGGGCACTAGGAAGTAAGGGTTTAGGGGGTCTGGGGTTTGTGCCAGCATTAGGAGTCCGCATGAGACACAGGGAACGTATATCGGGTAGCAGAACACGGCGGAAAACGTGGGAACGACGTGCAGGCACGTGCGCGCCCTGAAGCCAAAACCTTGAAAGCTCCAGCCCCAAACCCTAAAACTGCCCGCCCCGCCCCAGGCCACCTGCGGGACTCGACCCAACAGGACCCTGGTAGCCCAGTGGTACTCTTTACCCTTTCTTTTTTGGGGTTCAAGGTTCCCTTATAAAGCAACCAACCCCAAAAAGGGTGCCCTTACCATAATATGGTTACTGGGCTACCAAGGGACCATGGGCCTCTGCAGTTGATGGGTTTTGGCTTTCAGTGTTTCAGGGTTTAAGGTTTAGGGTTGGTTTGGGGTTGCAGGGTTGCAGGGTTTCGGGGTTTTGGGTTGTGAGTCTTTGATTTTGGGTTCCTTGTGGTCTTAATCTTAAGGTTGTTGGGTCTTTGTCCCGGAGGTTGAGGATCTACAACTTGGCGTGCGGGTTTGTTCCAGGGCGGGTTTAGGGTTTAGGGTTAGCCCCAAACTCTACAGCCTAAATTGCACCCAAACCCTTCACCCCCTGTAACCTGTCATTGCCCTTGAACCCTAAATGATCGGCAGGACGGGAGAACCTGTCCAACGGAGAGTTGCTCGAACGTGCCCCTGGCACCGTGGGGCTTAGGGTTTAGGTAGGGTTTGGGTCGGAGGTCGGGTTGATGATGTGTGTGCCCATGTGGAATCGTTTTCTCATTCCTTGTTGCAGAATGGTGATGCGCTGGTTGCAAACAGAGCTTTATGGTGGTTGTAAGGCATATCTAGTATGGGGTGCGGTCAGGATTCGGGGCTTCCCCATGTTACCTTTGTAGACGAAGCTAAAACTGCCAGCTGAAGACCCCACACTGTTCGCCTTCTGGCAACCTTGGTCCCATGACCCTTATTTGAGCAAGCCAAATCGGGTCGGTTCTAATTCGAAAGGCACCAATACAATATGTCTTTTTCATGAGGTTATGTCTCGCCAGGCATTGCGCAGCTAGAGCGGCAGATCACGCGCGCAGCGGTGGGAGGCAAGGGTGAGGGGTCGGGGGCGTCACGGCCCCAAAGCCGAAACCCTACCCTAATGAACCGTAAGCCCTGCTCCCTAAACCTTTGGAAATCCAACCCCAAACCCTTAGACCAAATCCCTAAACCCTAACATCCCCAAACCCGCCCTAAACCTTAGATCCCAAACCCAAAAATCAATCCCCAAACTCCAAACCCGTAAACCGTAAATCCTAAACCCTAACCCTAAACCCTAAACCCTAAACCCTAAACCCTAAACCCTAAACCCGAAACCCGAAACCCGAAACCCTAAACCCTAAACCCTAAACCCTAAACCCTAAACCCTAAACCCTAAACCCTAAACCCTAAACCCTAAACCCTAAACCCTAAACCCTAAACCCTAAAGCCTCAGCCGCGAGGGCCGACCTTCGGCGCAGCTCCTCCGGCTCAGGCCCCGCCTTAAAGACCCCGAAAAATTCCACGAAGCCGGGTCTTAAGAAGCGGGCTTGGGGTTTAGTGTTTGGGGTTTAGGGTTTAGGGTTTAGGCTTTAGGGTTTAGGGTTACCCCTTTAATTGATGCCCTTAGAAAAGAGGTTGTGTTGCCTGGAATTCTTCAAAACCCGAAGCCCCCCATTCCCCAGGCCCAGGTTTGGTGCTTCCGGGTTTGGGTTGAGGGTTTAGGGTTTAGGGTTTAGGGCTTAGGGTTTAGGGTTCAAGGTTTGGTGTTTAGGGCTTAGGGCGGGAGATCTTGATCTGGAGCCGGGTTTCTCGTGCGACCTTCAATTACGAAACGGGCTGGTGGGTTAGAGACAGATTCAGTTACGTTGAAAATGGAGCGCGAGGTCGGTCACCCTGCAAGTTGTCTCCCAACAGCCGCAAACCCTAAACCCCTAAACCCTAAACCCTAAACCCTAAACCCTAAATCCTAAACCCTAAACCCTAAACCCGAAACCCTAAACCCTAAACCCTTCCAGTATCCGAGGTGCAGGACTTTCCGCTGTCCCTGCCCAACACTGGGCATGGCCTGGTGGACTTCGAGGCACCTTGCTGAAGCACGAGGGGAGTTTTAGGGTTTAGGGTTTAGGGTTTAGGGCTTCCATGGGACTTCAGGGCCTTTAGGGTTTGGGGGTTCGAGGGTTTACAGGTTTCAAGGGTTGCGCGGATACCCTAGATCCCAGACCCCCAACTTCAGAATGGTATCGCATCAGTTGCAAGGGCGACCTGCGACTGTTGACTGGTCTATTTGCAGGGCTTCAAGCGCCCCATGCTAATTCATGTGCTATCTAGTTGTAATTGTAGCTTGCAAAGTAGACCGAAGACACGACAGCAAAGCCCAAAGCCCTAGCCCATGGAGTAGAGGAACCCTACGCTCAAAGCCGCCCCAAGGGCAGACCATGCCCTAAACCCTAAACTTCCTAAACCCTGAACCCAAACCCCCTAGACCCAAACCAAGGCTTTGGAGGCCCGATCGGCGCACGTCACCCAGAGACTGGAGGTGCCAGTTCAGGGTTTATGGGTTGGGGTTTAAGCTTCAGGGTTTGGGTTGAGCTGGGAGGTTCACCGCTGGGGTTCTTTGGAGTCCTTTGCGGATTTGTGGCTTAATGGTGTGAGGGTTCATAGGTTCAGGGAGTTGAAGTGTTTGGGATTTGGGGTTTGGGTCGTCGGGTTGTGGAGGTGTAGGGGGGTAGGGTCTGGGGGCTTGGGACACGTTTTAAGGTTGTTGGGCTTTAGAATCAGAAACTATCTATCCCCGTTTCTGACATCATCCCGACCCGGTTTCCGAAGCCATCAGCTGTCGAGTTCATAAGCTGCGCCTTCCACGTTTTCCTTCCCAAGATCTGACCCTCTCGTGCATCGGTTCTCTCTCTGTCTCTGTCTCTCCCGCTCTCTGTCTCTCTCTCGCTGTCTCTCTGTGTTCTGAGTCAGAGTGCGCCTGGGCTCTAGCATTTCTTCCTAGGCTCTGGGAGCGAAGACGACGCGGGGAGACCTTGCAACCCAAACTCCGATAGGGCTCAATGTCCGTGACTGAGAAGGTCAACGGGTACCCAGCGGATCCCAGCGGCAAGAGACCTCTTGTAGACTCGTTTAAGCCACACTTTGCAAGGGGCCGATAAAAATAGATATGGGTTTCGGAGGACACCCAGAGCCCTCGACCCGAAATCCTTGTTCTGTTGTTGGTGGTCTTCCCCTGTAAAACCCTAAACCCTAAACCCTAAACCCTAAACTGTAAAACCTAAGCCTGCAGTTGTCGGCAAGAAAGGGTCGCCCTCGCAGGCTGCTGAGCAGGAGCTTCGGGCAGAGAAGGAGGCAGGGTTCACCCGTGAACTGGCGTCATATCCCAAGCCCACCGTGTCGGGTGCAGGGTTTAGGTTTTAGGGTTTAGGGTTCAGTTTCCGAAAACTCGGAATCCCATATCCGGAAGTCCAGGATTCGAGGTCGTCACGGATCGCTCTGGGTAGCGTCCCGAACCTTGTGGAGGCCGGCCGGGGCAACAAGCTCAAGGTCGAGCAGCTGGAGCAGAAGCTGAAGGTGGGGAGGGGGGGACCCCTAAACCCAAATCCATAAACCGCGAACCCCAAACCCTAAACCCGAGTTGCGCGCACGGCCAGGACCGGGAGCAGTTGCTGAGCCATGCCAAGGAGATGTGGATGAAGGCCGATAGGGTTTGGGGTTTAGGGTTTAGGGTTTAGAGAGCTACGTTTTAGGGTTTGGGGAGTCACGGTGTTAGGGTTTAGGGTTTAGAGAGTCGCGGTTTTCGGTTTAGGGAGTCGCGGTTTTAAGGTTCTAGGGTTTAGGTTCTAACTCGCGTTATAAGAGGGTATTTGTGGTCACAGCTGGTTAAGACCTTCCTTTGGGGAAGAGGAGTGCTCCCAACCCCTACACCCCCCGAGGTAGACCCCAAATACCCCCAAACCCTAAACCCTAAATTTCTTCTTAGGACTCCTATTTTCGGCAACCTCCATCTAAGCCACCGATTGAACCTTCGAGTTCTTCCTGGCGTTGCCTTTAGGAGACAGAGGTGCTCATGGCCCTCAGCGCAGTATCGCCACCTTTTTCCATCAGACAGTAGACCGTAGACCCTAGACCCTAGACCCTAATCCCTAAACCCTAAACCCTAAACCCTAAACCCGAAACCCGAAACGCCCTGAGCCCAAGTGTATTGGCAACAGGAGAATGTCAGAGCCTCAAAGCTTGCCGACGCCCTCACGGCGGCTGAGGACAAGTTGGCGGACCAGGAGCCCAGAGTACAGGGTTTAGGGTTTAGGGTTTAGGCTTCAGGGTTTGGGGTTTAGGGTGTAGGGTTTAGGGTTCAGGGGCTCCACTCCCCTCTTTCCCTGCTCAGAGCCGGTAGGTTAAGGGGCGACGAGAGACCCGCAAACCGTAGACCCCGCATTGCTACCCCGAGATTTCGCTTGAACCCCAATGTTGTGCCTCCGTTCCAGCGGCCAGCAGTCTGCCATAAAGAAGTGCTTCAGGGTCTTGGGGTTGCCGTGTTGCTACACTACTGCTTTTGCTATTCGTGTCTTTTATTCGAAGCTGTTTTCGTTCAGATTGGCACTGCCCGCGGGACCCTGCCAACGAAAGTCATGTCAGCCCTTGCGAATTCTGGGAAGTTTGGTCGGCATGCTCCTTTTCGTGTTTTCCCAAACCTTAAACCCCAAACCCTACACCCTACACCCTACACCCTAAACCTGGGATTCCCGCTAGGAGCGGCGACTTGCGGACGTGTCGGCCAAGTACGCTGAAGCCCAGCAAGAGGTGGGGAGCTTTCGCGCGCTGCGTTGAGGGGATGGCATCAGCTGTGCTCTGCTCTCCTCGGCGGGGTCACAGAATCGAAGCTGACCTGCCCAGCCAGTCCAACAGCCCAGTTCTCTAAATGAGGGTCCCTTGTTGGCTCCACAGAAAACGGACTTCAAAAAGGGACCCTTGTTTAGAGAACTACCCATATATTGGCAGCGCAGTCAGGGTCCTCCAGCACAGTCTCGCGCGGGCACGCACAAGCAACACTGGAAGCGCCGTGCTTCTTTCCGAAAAACGGAGCCCCAAAGCCGTGGGGAACGGACCTCACCGCCCTAGGATTCAGGATGATATATTTTTCGGCCTTAGGATTCGAGATTAGGGTTTAGGATTTAGGGTTCAGGGTTTAGGGTTTAGGATTTCGGATTCAGGGCTTCCTACAAGCTTGCACCGGCCCAGGATCTAAAATAAACGCCTCCAGACCAGCTTAGTGCCTCTCCGGAGGTCCTTAGGTCCTTAGGTTTAGGGTTTAGGGTTTAGGGTTTAGGGTTAGCGTTTAGGGTTTAGGGTTTAGGGTTTAGGTTTCCCCCCACCCTACACTCGACCTTTTCACCATCTGTTTTTTTCGGTCCAGACGGGTCTTTTTTTCTATCTTGACAGCTTGAAAGGCAGAGTCAACACCTTGTCTGCAACTCCAGCTTGTTCCTCGAAGGGAAAGGGGCATCTTCCTTGACTCCCTTTCCAAATCGAATTGCGGAGCCTCTCACCAGCGCTCCGGCACCCCCTTTTTTTCAGTGTCTCTTCAGGGATCCTCCGGTTTCTCCAGGAGTTCGGCTTGAGCGCTCCAGGGCTCGAGGGATTTTGGTGCTGAGGACTTAGACTTGTGTGAATGTGCGGTTTAGGGCTTAGGGCTTTAGGGTTTAGGGTTTGGGGTTTGGGGTTTAGGGTTTGGGGTTTAGGTTTAGGGTTTAGGGTTTAGGGCTTGGGGTTTAGGGTTTAGGGTTTAGGGTTTAGGGTTTCGGGTTCTTTGGCCAAGTTTCCCTAAGCCCAGCCCGGCGGAGGTCCGACAGCTACAGCATCTCCTGGGCTCGAGCACCGGCGGGCTCACAGGCATGTAGGGTTTTAGGGTTGAGGGTTTAGAGTTATTAGGGTTTAGGGTTTAGGGCTATTAGGGTTTAGGGTTTAGGGTTATTGGGGTTGAGGGTGTAGGGATATGGGTTATTCGGGTTTAAGGTTATTAGGGTTTCGGGTTATGAGGGCTTAGGATTCGGGGTTTCTTCTTTCCAAGTCTCCGAGCCTTTCTTGGGTTTGGGTTTAAGTTTAGGGTTCCGGTGCCAGTTGGAATGACTTATCATTGTCCTCCCCATTGCTTCGTCTCGAACCCCAAAGGTGTAAACATGCCTGGGGATGGTTCCTGAACCGTGAACCCTGAACCCTGAACCCTGAACCCTGAACCCTGAACCCTAAACCCTAACTACTGAAAGGCTTCTCACGAGCCAGGCTTTTCAGGGCTCAGGCGTCATGCGGTTCTGGGCTGGCTTCGGATGCCAGTGTTAGCCCGAGCTCACGCCTTGCCGGTTTAGGGTTGAGGGGTTGGGGTTTAATTGTAAACGCTTGCGCGCGCCGCCTCGGCAGCCGGGCCGGCCAGGACAGGAAAGAAAAAGGGGGAAAGGGGGGGGGGGGGTGGTGGGGGGGGGTGGGGGGGGTGGGTGGTGGGGGGGGGGGGGGGGGGGGGGGGGGGGGGGGGGGGGGGGGGGGGGGGGGGGGGGGGGGGGGGGGGGGGGGGGGCGGGGGGGGGGGGGGGGGGGGTGGGGGGGCGGGGGGGGGGGGGGGGGGGGGGGGGGGGGGGGGGGGGGGGGGGGGGGGGGGGGGGGGGGGGGGGGGGGGGGGGGGGGGGGGGGGGGGGTGTGTGGGGGGGGGGGGGGGGGGGGGGGGGGGGGGGGGGGGGGGGGGGGGGGGGGGGGGGGGGGGGGGGGGTGGCGTCCGAAAATTTTGCATGGGGGGAAGGGTTGGGTTAGGGGGAAGGAGGCCCGATCCGGGTCTGCTTGTTCCAGACGCTTCTCGGCAGGAAGCCGAGGCGAATTAGGGTTTAGGGTTTAGGGTTTGGGGTTTAGGGTTTGGCTCTACATTACTGCTATTATCCCTGTGTATCCCCGATTTACCCAGAATACCGAGCTACGGTTGCCAAGCTCTCTTGTGGTAGAGTATGACGCGAACTACACCCATCATTGAAGCAACAAGCTCGCGAAATGCCCGCCAGTTTTATTTTGTCTCTTTCTTCGGTTTGGGGGAGCCTCCAGTGCAGCCCTTGAGGATACGCTCCAGGGGCCGTGGCCGGAGATGCAGGCCGTGCCCCGCACATGCGTTCAACGAGGGTGGGAGTGTTGAGCCGTTTAGGGTTTAGGGATTAAGGATTCAGAGGTGGGAACTTCCCTGAAAAGCCAAGGTTTCAGAGTTGCGAGCCCAGGGGGGGAGCCAGCCCGTGCAGATAGCCGAGCAGGGCTTCGGGTTTAGGGTAGCAAGCGCAAGTATTGCAACGTGGCCATGGAGGAAGTCCCAAGGCCCCTAAGCCCTAAACCCTAAGCCCTAAATCCAGAGCCTTACAAGATTGCCTCAACTCCCCTCCGTATCTCTTGTGTGTGTCTGCAGGTTGATCCTTCAAAGCCTCAACTTGACGGCCTTGATGGGTAGTTGCAGGTCAGTTAGTCATACCCTCACCAAGTACGGCTGTAGCAAGTCGTAACTGCAACTACCCATGAACCTCCCAACCCTAAACCCTAAACCCTAAACCCTAAACCCTAAACCCTAAACCCTAAACCCTAAACCCTAAACCCTAAACCCTAAACCCTAAACCCTAAACCCTAAACCCTAAACCCTAAACCCTAAACCCTAAACCCTAAACCCTAAACCCTAAACCCTGAAGGTCCCCCTACCCTCAGGCCTAGGATTCGACCTCCCGGCGTCGGATGGCCGCAACGGCTATGCCAAGGCGGAGCACGGGGAGTGGGGTGTGGGGCGGGAGGTTGCGTGTCAGGGGGGTGGGTGTAGGGCTACTTGGAGGTTCAGGGTACTTAGTAACCCTTTGTAAGTGCAGTTAGAACCCACATGTAAGGCCCTTAAGTACCCTGATAGGGTTATAAGCGGGTTTTCAGTACAGTTATCATTGGGTTGCTAAGTAGCATGAATCTGCAAATAGGGGTTCTTCCCCCTTCAGGCACGGATCCCAAGCACCGGCATGACGCAGGCGCAGGGCAGCTGGGGGGCGTTTGGGGGATTCTGTTTGCGAGGTTTCTGGTTTAGCAGGTTGGCAGCTGAGGTTGTTAGGATGTATGCGGGGTTCATAGGTAATTCCACGTCACTCTGGGGGCCCTATTTTCTTAGGGCAATGGAGGTTGGCCTTTTGTGTCGTCTAAACTGCAGGGAGCAGCACCATCACGACTGTGGTATCTTTCGTCGACACCTGCATGGGCAACCGTGCGCGGGTTGGAATGTGTCCCCGTCGAGATCAGGGCCAGACATTGCATGAACAGCGACAAAAGACTTGGTATGTGTTGCAAGTGGTTGGGAGAAGCCAAGCATTCAATTTGAGATTGAATATGTCCAAAGCTGAAGTTTTAACAGTACAATTCTCCACAGGGTCCAACAAGATGGCAGGGGGGATGATCCTCCACCCACCCACTCTGCCCGCCCGCGCACCCACCCATCCACTTTGAACCCCCCCAAGCCCTTTAATTCTAAAGCCTCAACCTTCAACCCTCAACCCTCAACCCTAAAACCCAAACCTCTAAGTCCTAAACCCTAAACCCCAAACCCTAAACCCTAAACCCTAAACCCTAAATCCCAAACCAAGAGTCCTGAGAGCCAGAGGTGCCCTGGTCCGATGATCTTGGCATGGTGCCGGTGCCCAAGAAACTCCGGGCTGGCTCAAGCGGGCTTAGGGTTTAGGGTTTAGGGTTTGGGGTGTTTAGGGTTTGGGGTGTTTAGGGTTTAGGGTTTAGGGGTTGAGGTTCAAGGATCCCCTAAAGACCCCTAAACCCTAAACCCCACCCCAGACCCGCCCACAACCCCACTCCCTTGTCGGTTGGGGTAGGCCTCAGTCAGACCCTGCGGCCTGCAAGCTGGAACTATCGCGCCGGTTCCATCCCGGGCCCCCGACTCACTGATTCATGGAAAGCTCTTAGGAGGCTGGGGCTCACGAAGCCCCCTGAAAGTCTGAGCTTCCTGCTCCACGGAGTGGTGCTGATTGTAACCCCCAAGTCTTTGTCCCAAGTGCTCCAAGCCACCCGGCTGACACACGTCTTCGGCGGCTTAAATGCCAAGCAATCCATAAGGCACAAGTATTCGGTGGCGCAAGGGCATCCCAAGTGCTCCCATGTGACCCAAGTGTGCCAACTGCGCCAGGGGTCTTACGCATCGCGGAATGGGTGCGAAACAGTGATCTCTCCATGCTCAGGCTTGTGCCAACAGAAGCACATTGGCTTGACACACTGGCAGGTACGATGTTTTCGGCACATGGACAACTCGTGGAGTCCCATAAACATAAAACTTTCGACTCTGAACCCGAGAGAGACCTAAACCCTCAAAACCCTCAAAACCCTCAAAACCCTCAAAACCCTCAAAACCCTCAAAACCCTCAAAACCTAAAATCCTAAGTTAGGGCCACCGACGAAGGCCCACCGACGAGTCGCTCCGCATGGGCTCCCCCCCGCGGACGCTCGCGTCGTCCGGGTGCTGGCCTCGGTCAGGGTTTAGGGTTTAGGGAGAAGGGGTTCAGAGGTTTAGGGGTTTAGGGGTTTAGGGGTTTGGGGTTTAGGGGTTTAGGGTTTAGGGGTTTAGGGTCTAGGGCTCGGAGCTGAGGGTTGAGGATGTAGGGTAGCTCTAAGGGTGTAAGGTTTAGGGAATGCTGCTAAGGGTTTGGGGATCGAGGGTTAAGGGTTTTGTTTTCAGCAACTCTTTTTTCGTGTGTCGCTTGAGGGTTTGGCGAGGCCTGTGCTTAGCCGCCTCGAACAGCACCGCGCAAGCCTCTGAAGCAAGCTGTTCCAAGTTTAGGGGTTTAGGGTTTACGGGTTTAGGGTGTTTTGGGTCCGCCCTTGAAACCCAACCTAAAACCCTCTACACCCTCTACACCCTCTAACCCTCTAAACCTTCTTAACCCTCTACATCCTCTTGATCCCTCTAAACCCACTCTAAACCTTCCTCTTTGAAGCGTGCTTCGTCTCCCACTCTCAATGTTTGACATGTCTTGTTTGTTTTTTTCCAACTGGGTATACCGCATAGGGTACCGTTGCAGGAGCTGAGAGCCTGAAGACGCGGGCGCCGCCTCGAAAAGTCTGAGCTCCGACCCTGCAAAGCCCACCTATTTTAAGGCCCTGCGTAAGGTACGATTCCGAGATAGCACGCCGAGCATGCTTTCTGCAGCCTCAGCAGCAGACAATCTGTGAGTGACCAGCAGAAAATGGGTACTTCCCAAAATAGGGGTACCCTCATACCCCATAGAGTCCTTATTATAGGAACCCCAACAAGGGTGCCCCTCTTTTCGGAAACCCCCAAATGAGGCAGATGCCCCTGCTCGAGAATGACACCAATGCGGAGCGCTTCAGGCCTGTGTCCGTTTCCCTAAAGCCTGAACCCTAAACCCGAAACCCTGACTTTAAACCCTAAACCCTAAACCCTCAACCCTGAAGCATCGGCGTCCCCACCCGGCGCCAAAGGGCCCATGTCCCAGGACAGTCAGCCCTCACGACCTTTTAGGTCACAATTTGGGATGTTCCCCCTTATACTAGCAGTCCTTGATAGGGATTGAAAAGAGGGGGTACTACATAAGGACTGTTAGTATAAGGGGGAACACCCCAAGTCATAATTATGCACCGTGCTTGGGGTTATCAACCCCCCTGAGCCTTTAGGAGCGCATCCCCCCTCCTGATCCAGCCTGCCCGGGACCCGGAAACGTAAACCCTAAACGCGCTAAACCTTGAAGTGTGGGGGGCAGCTAGAAGTAACTTGTGGCTCGGGGGCAGGGTTCAGTGTGGAAGGGTTAGGTGGTCACTTGACTCGAGGCTCGGAGAAGGGAGGTGCCGAGGATCTGGAGGTTCATGGGAAGTATAGCCGGGGGTCCTGAGCTGAGAAGCTCGAGTGTCTGGGTTCGATCCCGCAGATTCAGGCAGAAACCTACTTGGGAATATCCCAAAATAGGGATAGAAAGGAACCCCCTGAAAGGGACCTTCATTCAAAATAAGTAATTGGTTATAAGGAAGCTTTTTTCGATGAAGAGACTTAAACTTTAAATATAATTATGGAATATGCTGATGATGAAGATTTAGATAAAAGATAAAATCAAGGCTTAAAAATAACTCATTAATCAATATATCTCCATATTCTGGAAATTCCTCACATGTTAAACACTTAAACATTGTAGATTTTCCAGCCCCATTAGTTCCAAGCATTGCAAAGCATGTTCCATAAGTATAGAAAATATTGGAAAATAACTGCATTTTAGAACAAGAGAATTTCAAAATTTTAAAGGAAAAGGTGACCCCCAAAAAGGGTACCCCCAATTTTCGCAAACCCCCACTTCTAGTCCCAGTCAGAACTGCACTCTGGACCTCCAAGCAGCGGCGCAACTTCGCAGGCGCCTCTGTCTCTTGAACGACGCTGTGCTCTACGAGGACGACCTCCTTCAGGCGTGGGCTCCACTCCCTAGCCAGCGTCTTGTGCGCCCTAAACCCGAAACCCGAAACCCTAAGCCCTAAGCCCTAAACCCTCTAGGTTTAGGGCTTTAACCCCTCGAACCTTAAAGTTCTTCACATGTAGGGTTATTAAAGTGACACAGATGCTGGGTGCATCTGCTGTAGCGTCCTAGAAAGAGCCATGAGCCCCTAAACCCGGAAACTCCAAACTTTGGATCCCCAGACCCCCGAACCCGCTCGACCTCCCCGCTTTTCTACACATGTATTAAATAATGACTGAATGACTAACTAAATAAATAGCAAATACACATATATCTACATATATATATATATGTATAAATAATATATATATATATATATATATATATGTAGAGAGAAAGGTATACAGATGAATCGATAGATCGATGTAGAGATGTAAGCGCCTTCTGTATCCTGCCCTGCTCGGCCGCAGGTTGGCATCAAAGCCGAGTACAGTGGCCTGGAAGGCACCGGGCTTCTTGGTGTGAGGGGTTTGGGTTTAGGGCTTGGGGTTTAGGATTTTAGGATTTGGGTTCTAACTTTCAGGATCATGGGGTTTCAAGGATTCTGGCGGCTAAAAAGTAGTGATCGTATAGCCACTTGCCACTGCAGTTTTCAGTTTCCGTGTCAGCCGTTTCAGTCCCTGTAATCAGAGCGACGGCTGCAAATTTCTCACAGGTTGAGCAACGCTCAGCCCGATTCGGAGCTGCGTATCAGTGAGTGAGTGTGTGCCACTGCAGCTTAACCAGTACACCTTGCAGGCTTTGGGTGCTGTGAGGTGAGGGGTGTGGGGCGGGGCGGGGCGGGCGGGGGGGAGGGGGGGGGGGGGGGGGAGGGGGGGGGGGGGGGGGGGGGGGGGGGGGGCTCAGGGTTCAAGGCTCAGGGTTGAGGGGTGTTGAGTTGGTGCGTTGGGTCTGAAGTCTTGTCGGGCTTAAAACCGCTGAAACCCTGAGGCTCAATGCCCTCAGAATTTAACCCCCGCATCCCTCTCCCTGAGCCCTTAGTTCCCCAGCATCGGGGTTTGTGCCGAACTTGCCGCCCAAGATCTCTGCCAGGGCAGATTGCTGTTTTCTTTGGCAACAAAGGCAGGCTCCGGACGTGGGGGTTCTAAATCCCGGGTCCTTTTGGGTACAAGTATTGTGCTTTCCATGCCAAGAGATCGCAGAAGCAAAGAAGTATGCATGCCCTTTATAGTAGAACATAGGTATAGGGCTATCCGAGAATCAGTAGAGACCTCAACAGGGCCTATTGTTCATATCAACCCCCTTCATTTGCGCATTCCTTTAGGTGATACATATAGTTACCACGCCCATTGTATTCCGGCTTTTCGCCCAAATGCACCTTTTTGAGAAACGCTCGTTGGATGTACTGGAGGACACGACGCCTGTGAGCATGTCAGGCGTGATAAGTGCTTGCAACAAGCAACTGGTATCTTGTTTTTGGGACGCGTGGAGCCACCTAGAACTACCCATGCGCGTTGGGCAAACGCTTGCTCGGGTTTCGGTTCGGGGGTTGGGGGCTTAGGGCTAAATGAAAAGGCCAGGGCTTCACACTCAAGCGCTTGCCGCCCCGAGCCCCCACACCCGTCTAAGGGCTTCGGGTTTTAGGGGCTTTAGGGATTCATTAGGGATGGAGGGTTGGGTTTAGGAATGTAGTGGTTTAGTTTGTGCTTGGAACGCACCTTAACGTTAACCCGCGCTCTGTTTCCTTATATGGAGGCTAACCAAGGTGGCTACCGAGGATCTTCAGCAAAGGTTTGATGGGCCAGGGCGGTATCAGCCCTCAACCCTACACCCTAAACCCTGCTGTGCTCTTTCAACCCTAAACCCTAAACCCTAACCCCTAAACCCTAAACCCCAAACCCTAAACCCAAAACCGTTCCCCTATACCCTAAACCCGAAACCCTAGGCCCTAAACCCTGCACCCTACACCCTAAACCCTTTCCTTCTAGGCCATGCGGCACTACACACCTTCACGGCCCAATACTTCGTCCGAGAGGCGTGGGTTTCTGTTGAGTTTGGGAGTTCTAGGGTTTAGGGTTTAGGGCTTAGGGTTTAGGGTTGCTTGGGGCAAGGGGCGCGGAGGGCATCATGGGAACTCTTTATCCGGCCAAAGAGGGCAGAAGATTCCTGACATGGTGCCTCAAATGACCCCCGAAGCCCACAACCAAGAGGTTTTGGAAGCCTCCAAGCCTCTCGGGGCTCATCTAGACCCCGCACGCGCAACCCAGGACCCTGAGTCCCAATCCCCAAGCCAAATCCCTGAACCAAAAACAGTCCCCTAGTCCCTATAAACCCGGCAAACCCTATAAACTCTGTGAGCCCTAAAAATAGGCCCGATAACAACACCTATAAAGCCCCTAAGCCCCCTCCCCTCTCCCACAAACACGCCCTCAACGAGATAACCCCATGTACGACCCCATTCACTATAAGCCCCGCCCCAATTTCCTGCACCCCCTGAAGCCTCCAAATCCTACACGCCCCTAAACCCTAAACCCTATAAACCCAGAAGCCTCAACATAAACCCCTGAACCCCAACGGTGCAACCGAAACGCTGCACCCTAAACCCTAAACCCCAAACCCCAAAGCCTAAACCCTAAACCCAATAATCCCTCGGGACCCCCCAAAAAACCTCACAACACAGGAGCAGGCGCTTCGGCTCGTTGCCTCGCCCATGAGCCAGCAGCTGGAGGCAGACGAGCAGGTAGTGCCGGGCCCTCAGCTGAGTTTGGGTTTTTGGGGTTTTGGGTTTAGGGTTCTGAGTTTGGACTTTTGGGGTTTGGGGGCTTGTAGGGTTTAGGGGTTAGGGGACTTGCGCGTTTTAGGGGTGTAGGGTGTAGTGGGCTGAGTTTGGGGTTGTGGGGTTTTGGGGTTTAGGGTTTAGGGTTTAAGGTTTAGGGGACTTGGGGTTGGGTGGTTTTTGGTGTCTAGGGTTTTAGGGTTAAGGGTTTCTGGTTTACAGTTTGGGGGCTTTGGGGGGGGTTTAGGGGTGTAAAGTTTCAGGTTTCTTGGGGTTTTCGGGGTGTTGAGGTTTTAGGGTGCGGCCTCTGGGGCTATTCGGGTTTTGCAGTTTAGGCGTTTAGGGTTTGAGGCTTTCGGGTTTTTATCTATTTGTACATATATATATATATATATCTACACACTATCTTTTTACACCGTTCCCCTACCCCCCTCTATACTGACCCCTCTCGGTTCCCCCCTTATCCCTAAATAGCCTTAATTGTGGGGGGACCTAGGTAGGGGGGGTAGTACCCCTAAACCCTGAACCCTAAACCCTAAACCCTAGACCCTAAACCTTAAACCCTAAACCCTAAACCCTAAGCCCTAAACCCTGGAAGTATTGATGGGGTACTACAGAATGGGGGTAGTAGGGGAACCCATGAAATCCCTGAGGCAGCGGGTGACAGTGTCGCTCCGCGAGCCCTTTGCCGAGCCTCCCTGGCTGCGGCTGCAGTTCTTGCTGTCTGGGGCCCCGGGGTTGAGGGGGTTTAGGGTTAGGGTTTAGGGTTTAGGGTTTAGGGTTTAGGGTTTAGGGTTTAGGGTTTAGGGTTTAGGGTTTAGGGTTTAGGGTTTAGGGTTTAGGGTTTAGGGTTTAGGGTTTAGGGTTTACGGTTCGGGCTGAGAGGGTTTGAGGCTCCAGGGCCCTCCTTTAGGCTTCGGGGGCTAAGTAGGGGTACAGAGAGCACAGGATTCTTCTTCTTGATTTGAGTACCCTTAAACCCTTAAACCCTTCAACCCTTCAACCCTTCAACCCTTAAACCCTTAAACCCTTAAACCCTTAAGCCCTTAAGCCCTTAAGCCCTTAAATCCTTAAACCCTTAAACCCTTAAACCCTTAACCCATTAACCCAAAAACCCTAACCCTAAACCCTAAGAACAATATTAGGCTTTGGGGACAGCAAGGCTTTGGTGCTAGCGTTGGGGGCTTGTTTACTGTAGGTTCTTAGCTTCAGGATTGAGGCCTTCGAGACCCCCCTAAAGCCTGACGCCCTAACTCAGAGCTCATGAACTCTAAACCCCGCTGCTCTTAGGGTTTGGGGTTTAGGGTTTAGGGTTTAGGATTTAGGGTTTAGCGTTCAGGGTCTCTTCCTGCACTTGCTTCGTCTAGCAGCAACCCGAGGCCAGATGCGAGCCCGAGAAGGACACTTTGGGGATCTAGGGTTCATATGCTTGGTGTGTGTACTAGGGTAGCTCCTTCTGTTTAGGAGTTGAGGTGTTTAAAGTGGGTTTTCTTCCTGCCAATTTTTCGGGTTTACGGCTTGACTGAGCCCTTGGGCCCAATTTTATAGGCTCCGGGCCGTACACCCCCACATCCCCAAACCCCCAAATCCCAAAAAGGTGCAGACCTGCGTCGTGTGCCACAGGATCCAGCTCAAGTTCCCCATCATCCTGCCGAAGTTTATGGTGGGCCCGGCTTAGGGTTTAGGGTTTAGGGTTTAGGGTTTAGGGTTTAGGGTTTAGGGTTTAGGGTTTAGGGTTTAGGGTTTAGGGTTTAGGGTTTTCTGTATGCTTCACAGTTACTTTTCCTCAAGGGACCCTGAATCCCAAACCCTGAACCTGTCTTTGAAGGATGTGAGTGGGTTTATTTGATGGTTTTTAGTAAGGGGAAGGAATTGTCTGCTGTATACCCCCCCCTATATAAATATATATAAATAAATACATAGATGAATAAATAAATAAATACATAAATAAATATATAAAAATATATATATATATATATATATATATACATATACATACATGTATATGTACTCTTTATGGGGGTTTTTGTCCCAGGGCACCTCCCTCCCTCTTGCCCTCCCAACAGCCAGGAGGTTGAGCTCTCAGAGTGCAGGTCCTGGTGTCAGTGCAAGGATCGCAGCAGCCCACAAATGGGCAGCGGCTCGCTGAGTAAGCCTGTCTCGAACTCGGGGGTCTAACTTTTGGCTCGGGTAGAGACGCCACGCACGCTCCCAAACGCCCGACCACAGCTTCACGTCCCGCCCCTGAAGCTTTCTCATTATGAGTGGGGAGAGTTCGAACCCCCCAAACCCTAAACCCTAATCCCTAATCCCTAAACCCTAAACCCTAAACCCTCAACCCTAAACCCTAAACCCTAGGCTCTCGAAGACATGCAGTTCCTGTACGGTTAGGGGGCCTGGCAAAGGGTGCCCCTGGCAAAGGGTGCTCCTGATCCTTGCTTCGGCGGAGCTCGGTGCCAGGTGGGACGGGACCTGTCCCCGCAGGAGTTCTTCCACCACTGGAGGCGCAAAGCTTGGGTACCATAGTATGAGTAGTAAAATTCAAAAAGCTTACATAAGTCTATTATGATGAAATCACTATACTATGATTACATGATTATATTATGATTACATAATCTTATTATGATATAAGGGTTTAGGGTTTCATGCGCTTGGGGCACCATCCACGCGCGGTTGTCCTGCGCGCGTGTGGTCTCTATACAGGCATGAAGCCCCCTGAAGCGTTGTGAAGGAGTGCCAGAAGGGATCTTCGGGTCTGTCTTGCAGGTCTTGTGGGTCTTCTGCGGTTGGTTGTTTTTTCTCCTTCTGCCAGGTTGCAGCATTTCGTGCTGAATGAGGCGTGAGGGGCGGGGGGGTGAGGACATCAGTCTCAAGCAGTGTTCATGGAAGCAGCGCTTTCGCTTCCCTGCCTTTCGGCGTACATGTGCCCGTCAGGTGACAAGCATCGTGCACCTGTCGGAGAGATTGCGCGGTCCCCTTGTGAATATCGCAAGGCCGCGCATTCAGCACTTCAGGGGTGTGCACAAAGCACCGGTCTAATCTCCCTCATGCACCTGGGATTCAGGGCTGAAAGTCTGTACAAGACGCAGGAACACGATTGCCGCTTAGGCTGCTACCTGTGCAGTTGCAGATCAGCTCAGGAGTCGCTCAGAGCTTCATTCGCCTGGTTGTTAATCGTGCAAGTATTGTTTGCTCACTGACAACACACCCACAGCCACTTGCTCAGCATGTTTTCTGCGCAGGTGCATTGTCTTCGGCGGCGCATTTAGATTGCTGCTTGGCGGCTGAAACGGCTGTGAGGGCTAGAATGCAAGGGGGACAAAGTTGGTAATTATTTAGGCTCTTGCATCGCCCACCTTCATCCCGAAGGCACCATGGCATTGACAGCAACGCGGACAATTTCGTGTTGGCCGCCGCCCTACTTGACGTCACGACTGAGAGACTGAAGCCCGAACTCATTCGTAAATTCAGCAACAATGACAATAAGACTACTACTATTACTAATACTAATAATAATTACAATAATCATAATAATAATCATCATAATAATAATACTCATAATAATAATAGTAATAATAATATATTATAAAGAACAATACTAATACAAGTAAAAATAGTAATAATAACAATAATAAGGACCTTTGGCCAAGATACGCAGGTGATGAAGCCGAGATTAGCTGAGCAGCTTCAGTTTGAGCACCACCCGGATGGTTTAAGGTTCAGAGGCCCAAGACCTCCAGCCGAGTCGAACAACATGACTAAGGGGCTTGCTTATCACTCGGCGGGCGCTCGTTTGGGCCTTGAACTCGGGCCTGTGGCCTTTTTGGGAAACAATACGTATAAGAAACCCTAAACCCTAAACCCTTGAAACCCTTGAGGTATGCAAAGGGTGCTTGCGAAGAGCCGCAATCAGGTCTCGACGCTGTCCGATCCCGCTGTCGCAGCCCGGATGGACGCGAGAGGCTAAACCCTAAACCCTAAACCCTAAACCCTAAACCCTAAACCCTAAACCCTAAACCCTAAACCCTAAACCCTAAACCCTAAACCCTAAACCCTAAACCCTAAACCCTAAACCCTAAACCCTAAACCCTAAACCCTAACCACTAAACCCTAAACCCTAAACCCTAAACCCTAAACCCTAAACCCTAAACCCTAAACCCTAAACCCTAAACCCTAAACCCTAAACCCTAAACCCTAAACCCTAAACCCTAAACCCTAAACCCTTAAACCCTTAAACCCTTAAAACCTTAAACCCTTAAACCCTTAAACCCTTAAACCCTTAAACCCTTAAACCCTTAAACCCTTAAACCCTTAAACCCTTAAACCCTTAAACCCTTAAACCCTTAAACCCTTAAACCCTTAAACCCTTAAACCCAAAACCCAAAACCCAAAACCCAAACCCCAAACCCTAGACCCTAAACCCTTAACCCTAAACCCTCAACCCTGAAGCCCTGCACTTAAGGGTGCTGGGCCGGCAGGCCTCGACCCCCTTGCCGCGCCCGACCGGGAGGGTGGGCTGTCGCTGATGCGGGTCGAGGCCTGCGTTTCGGGTGTAGGATTTAGGGTTTAGGGCTAGGGTTCAGGGTTCAGGGTTCAGGGTTCAGGGTTCAGGGTTCAGGGTCCAGGGTTTAGGGTTTGGGTTCAGGATTGAAGTGAGGTTTGGGTGGATTAGGGGGTCGGGATTTGGGTGTTTCACACTGAAAAAAGGAAAGCTCTTCATGAAAGGATCCGCCAACATTTAAGACGCCCAACATCTACACTTCAAGTCCAAACCTCGGCCCCGCCCCCCCCCCCCCCCCCCCCCCACGTACACAAAAAAAGAACCTAGACCCTTAACTCCGAAAGCCAAGGCAACTAAAGACCCTAAACCCAAATCCTAAATACTAAGCGCCCTAAAGCCACATGTGGCACGGAAGCAAGAGGTGGGCAGCGGCCGCTTCACTGGGAAAGCACGGGTGCCTCGGGCTAGGACTTAGGGCCCATCCGGGCCGTTCTGGCAGGGAAGCCTCAATAAAGCTGCGAACTATCCCTGAAGCACCGGAAGCCCCTTCTGTTTAAACCTCTAAAGCCCCCAAAGTCCACCCAAGCGCCTCGAAACCTTCTACCTTCCCCCCCCCGGGCCGGCTTTGGGGTTTCTTGGGGGCTCTGGATATGCGGGGCTACTTAAAGGATGATGGGTAGTTATCAGCCTGGTTTACTTCGCGCTTTTCAGGCTCTATACTGGCCGAGTCGATTTAAGGGTTCATGGGTAGGTTAGGTTCAACAAGTCGGGTAGCGGCAATTCTTACAGTAACTATGCCGTTCTGGTTTTGGTAGAGAGAACCAATCTTCCAACTAGTGCACAGCCTAACGCATACTTGAGGGAGGCTTCGTGGGTAGGTTTCAGAAATCCATGAAGAAAACCATACTTATAATCACCTTGGGTTGTTCCCCCTTATACTAACAGTCCTGAATAGGGATTGTAATAGGGGGTACTATAATCCCTAAGGACTGTAGTATAAGGGGGAACATCCCAATATTTACCCATGAACCTCCAAGTACAGTTTCGGTGGGCCTGGTTGAGGGGGGATGGGCGGGGAGGGGGCTGGAACTCGAGTGCTGCGAGGTGGTCGTCCGCAGCAGCAATCACGTCGTGGCCAAAGCGCTATGTGACTGCCGCTCACTGAGGTCAGCAACTTTCGAGTGTGTTGAAGTCCCAATCAACGAAGTCATGGTAGCGGTACTACTGCTATTACTGTTATTGCTACTCCTACTACTACGACGACGACTGCAACTAACTACGAACTACTAACTAGTAACTACTAACTTCTAATTACTAACTACTAACTACTAACTACTAACTACGAACTACGAACTACTAACTACTAACTACTAACTACTAACTACTAACTACTAACTACTAACTACTAACTACTAACTACTAACTACTAACTACTAACTACTAACTACGAACTACTAACACTAACTACTAACTACTAACTGCTAGGTTCGAGGCGCGTTCCCGCGCGTGGTACGGAAGGCATGTACACAAGTCAAGACATGCACAAAACATCGGCAGGGGTGGGATTTAAGCACTTGGGAAAACTATGTCATGTTTGGGGGCCAGGTTTTCAGCCTACATAGTAGTTTTGAAATGACTGTCACTGTAGATAGATTTGAGATGTGAAGCCCGGGTCATTTTTTAAAGTTAAGTTGAGGGTTTAGCTTACAGGGTAACGCTGTATACCAGTGTTTTGGGCATGAACCGCTGTAAATAGCAATGTTTTGGGCATGGTCGCGAAAGGCATGGACGCTTGTGACAGGTTTTCTTGTTCCACATACTTGTGCAGTATGTTGTACACAGAGGCTGCCCCCAGAAAGTCCGGAAAACCTGAAAATGTGCTCGAAAGTACACTTGCGGGAACGCGCCCCAGTCCAACTACTAGCAACTAGCTACTAACTACTAAGTACTACTGCTACTGCTACTGCTGCTGCTGCTGCTGCTCCTGCTGCTCCTGCTACTCCTACTACTACGACGACCACAACAACTAGTACTGCTACGACTAATTACTACTTAAAATTCGCACTTAAATGCATATCACTTTTCTTACTAAGAATAAGACTCATGAATCGCGTGATTAAGCTTGGTTTATGCCCGTGAGCCACGGCTTTCCTGAAGTCGGTGGGATGTCAGGGTGAGGGCTCGAAGTGGCCCGACAGCCACAGGATGGCAGATTTGCTTACTGTTGGTTTGTAGGGAAGAGGGGGCGAATGAGGTACCCTATATAATCCCTTAAAGGGTATATATAGGGGGATAAAAGGTACCTCATTCCCTCATTCCCTGCTAACCAACAGTAAGTTTAGGGTTCAGGGTTCAATGCCTCGGGCTGCGCTTCGAGTCACATGCTTCAGCAGGTCCGGGGTCTACTCCCGGACCTGGGTGGCTGTTCAAGAACTTAAGAGAATCAAGCCTTACCGTAAATGTAGCAGAGACACCTGGTTTGCTTCTTGTGCTCATTTAGCTCAGCGGCTCAAGCAGGAAGTCCCAATGCTGAGTCCCAACTCCCCCCCCCCCCCAAGCTGTGCGGGGCTTGAAGCTTCCCTCTAAGGAACGGAGCGGCCTCGAACCCCAAACCCTGAATTCTTTGGTACTCCTGGGCTTGTGGGGTTGAGGGATTTGGTGTCAACAAATCCCCAGCTATCCATTGTGTGTTCGCTAAAGTGGCTCTTCTCCTTCGGTTTAGGGTTCAGGGGGAGCTGGGGATCTAGAATTACTAGGATGTTTTTCAGCTTCCTACCCCGCCAGGGCTCGACGTTTTTCCTTTTCTCCAAAGGTTTGTTGGAACCCTAAAATCTGAGGCTTAAGTTAGAGCCTAAGCCCTAAGCCCCAAACCAATGTCATTCTCGTCCATAGCTTGGTATGTGCCTGTGCCCCCTTATTATACGAACAGTCCTTAATAAGGATTCTAGTAGGGGTACGATAATCCCTATTAAGGAGCTGAGGAGCTGTTCGTATAAGGGGGAACATCCCAATCCAGAGCTCCCATCACCCATCACCTGCCTTAACCCCCTGGTTCTTAGTAGGGATTGAGGGAATGAGGGCCCAAAGGGTATATATAGGGCCCCTATATAATCCCTTAAAGGGCATATATAGGGCCCTCATTCCCTCATTCCCTACGAAGAACCACCCAGTTAACCCCAAGGCCTTGTCCTGCAGCTCGCTGAACCTGGCGCTTCCACGCCCCATGCGACCACCGTGTCGGCCACCTGAGTCCAGAGTCTCCTTTCCTAAGTAAACCCTAAACCCTATTTTTAAGTATAATTTAAACCCTAAACCCTAAACCCTAAACCCTAAACCCTAAACCCTAAACCCTAAACCCTAAACCCTAAACCCTAAACCCTAAACCCTAAACCCTAAACCCTAAACCCTAAACCCTAAACCCTAAACTCCAAGCCCATACCCTACACCCTAAACCCCATAGGTTTTGGGCCGATTGCGGGTAAAAGGTGGGTGGAGGGTGTCGGTTTTAGGGTTGGGGGCTTAGATTTAAGGGTCAGGGTCCAGGGTTTGTAGGCTTTTGGGTGTGTTCACGGTTTTCGGCTTCAGGTTGAGGCTCAAGTTTTTGGATCCGGTTCCGGGCTTGGGGTGCAGCAAAGGTTTTTGCCCAGCAAGTTTGTAAGCGATAGAAATGCGCCAGAAGGTCTTCGACACGATGTGTGGTGAAGTGTTCCGACGTGGCTAGGTGGTCGGGCCTGTCGGAGAAAACCCTAAACCCTAAAACCCTAAAACCCCAAAACCCTAAAACCCTAAAACCCCAAACCCCAAACCCTAAACCCTAAACCCTAAACCCCAAACCCTAATTCGTGGCGGTTTGGGCCGTCGCCTGCGAGGAACCATGTCAAAGAAACATCGTACACTATCGCGTTGGTGAGGGGGGACAGTGACCCGCAATCGCAAGCACGGAGCCCCAAGTCCCCTTCCCTGAGCCACAAAAGACCCAAAGCTACAGAAATGCAAGACTTTCAACCCAAATCCCTGAACATGAAGCTACTTCTCGACGTGCAAGGTGGATGTAAGAGTTTTGGGTTTTTAGGGTTTTGAGGCATTTTCGATTGCCATACTCATGCTGACCAGCTCTATGCGCATGTTTACTGCGCACGTTCTAATGCCCCAAACTCTAATGAGCAGTTGATGCGGCACCGCCTCACCGACAGTAAACGAACATTCGTCGCACCTGTGCGAGCCAATGCGGACGGAGTGAATCTTTTCGATTGGAAAGAACTCAAGATCTCAGCCAACGAGTCGTTGCATACAATGCAACTGATGTAGAGTACGCGATGTTCCTGGATCCTTTCCTCTTACCTGTTACCTAAAGGGGGTTATACGAAAGTAAGGACCCCAATAAAATACCCCGAATCATCAGGGTTATTGTTAGAAGGTTGTCAGTTTTTTAGTATTGAAACATTCTTGGTATTGCTGTTGTTGTTAGAATGTTGTTGTCAGTATTTTAGTATTGTTATGAATGTTTTTTTATTGCATGGTCATTCTTATGCGTCATGTGTTAGTGTGGTTTTTGTGTGTACAATTCGATACATAGGTATACTGTCTTTGTATATGTATATGTATATGTGTATGTGTATGTGTATGTGTATGGGTATGTGTATGTGTATGTGTATGCGCATGTGTGTATGTATGTGACATGTGTGTGTATGTGTATATGTATATGTATATGTAAATGTAAATGTAAATGTAAATGAAAATGTAAATGTAAATGTTTCTGTATATGTATATATATATATATATATGTATATGTTGTGAAGTCGACCAGCACTGGACTTGCACTAAACCAATGCAATCACAGCCCGGCCACGCTGTTTTACGACTTCGCGAGTTCAAGCACTTGTGCAGCTACGCCTGAGTGCGTCCGGTCGGACCGCACAGCAACCTAAGAGCTACTGTACGAAACTACCGTGCTCAAAGGCACAAGCTCGGTACTTGAGCCAAAATATTGGCGTTGTTACGAATTGCAAAACTACACATGCAAAGGAAAACAACACGCTGCACTAGCACTATGCAAGCACACCATGCATGCTTTGACCTGCTCACATTCGCCCCTCAGCCGAGGCTTCCGGCTCACCAAGAGCTCGTAGCGCGTCAAGCACTTCCGCAACGCGGCAAATGGGGTAGGGCGAGGGCGTCGCGTGCGACCCTGGTAGAGCCCGCACATCATGAGCATTGGCATGCGGCTTGGGCGGCAGCCCGCACTACCAAACGGACGCACGACGACAGCAGCCCTCTACGACCCTAAACCACCCCAAGTCGCGAGCGCTCACCTTTGTGCTGGCAGGCGAGGCTCCAGAGTACTGGGCAGGTCTTTGTGCTGCTAGTGCAAAGCTATGGTACAAATGGTACACTGTACAAACTACCGGCCCTAAGCTACGGCTACGGCTACTCACCTATCCAGAACTACCCTACGGGCTACCGGACTCAGCGAGA